ACTTGCAGAAAGCACAAAAATAAACTTCCGACTGTAATACAAAGAAGTTGCTGCTAAGTGGTACACTTAACAGTGGGGTTATAAAACTAAAGGAATCAGCAAACTTATTTTGGTCTCATTTTGCCATAGTTTTGGCATTTGATGTCTGGGAGGTATATATATATATATATATATATATATATATATATATATATACACACACATATACACACGCACACACTTCTCATACAAAATACTTCGGCACATGGCTAAATGTCACTTAAGAGTCTGATAGATGTGTAGACTCAAGTCATTAATATTGGGAGGGCCCTGAGATTAATAAGCCCATCTATTCTTTGTGTGTAGTCCTGGCACTTGCTAAGATGCCTGCATAGCACAATTATATAATAACTACTCTCTTTGCAGTCACTTAAGAATGAATGGGGGGGATGAAATTGGCTCTGGAAGCCCGTTCAATATTTTTATGCTGTAATTAATGTGAAGGATAAAGGCTTACCAAGATGATTTCTAATAAGAGTAGTATGATTTTCTCCACATGTCATCAAGTCTTTTGTGGTTACCTTGAACTACTTACCTCAGAAGACCTCTCAGTGAATGAAGTTGAAGAAAGTTACTGAAACTGCTGCATCCCAATTATACTTACCTGTAAGATCATTTCAAATCACAAAATTATACAGCTGCACTATATTTTCCAGGAGCTTTCATGTAAGACACAAATCTAAATCCAGTTTTCTAATTTTTTTAATGGTACCTGGGGGTTGAAGGTAACACCCTGGCACTGGGCCCAAGTTCCAACTGGCAATTCTACTTCAGCCTCCCAGAGTGCTAGAATTATGGACATGCACCCAACACCTGGTTCTGGTAAACCCTTTTTACAATTAATGTGCTTATGGATTATATGAATTCCCATCACCCAGTAATTAGAGGTTTTCTAGGTATTTGAAATCTACTGAATTTCTGTAACAAATATAGATCAAAAATTGGATTCGATTGTAGGAAATCATCAGTAGTTGATCTTTTTTGACCCCTAAAAGTGGTAGTTTCCTGTTATTCCATCTATGGAATTATTTCAGCCTGCATAGTTTCACTTCCCAAAAGTCTACTTACTGAATATGGTAATTACTACAGCAGTTCTCAAAGTGGAAGTCAAATACTATGATAGGTTGACACTGAGTTATAAGCAGCAGCACTCCATACATATCCTTTTTAAGTTATCCAAGAAATTTCACTATACTAGATATTGCCAAGAGAGAGATGCAAGGGAGGTTAACCGTCATGGCAAAGATGGATTTCATACATCCTACTCATTCCAAATGTCCAAGTTTCTTGAAGCATTCTAGAGAAGCACAAAATTTTACTATCCTAAATAACCTCGTTATCAACGGCATAGGACTGGAGGTATGCAAGTTTTCAATTTACTTACCCTTTGTATAGGCTCATATTCATAGCCTGTGACAATACTAATTGATTTGAACCTCAAAAAAAAAAAAAGTATGTCTCTGCAGGGGACAAAAGTACTATTTCTAGTGCAACATTCAGCTCAACTCTAAAGACTTCCTTCATGTAATGACCTAGTCAAAACAGCAAATAGTTACAAAAATGCCTGAGATTTAAGCACAAATGTGTTGGAAACTGCAGAGAATGGCTGGTACGAGTTTAAACAAGTTTTGATTTAGCACTGCTTAGCTTCAGTTCTTTGGGTCTTAACATCAACTCCATTAAAAAAAAAAAAAAAAATTCAGGCTAGGCATAGTGGGACATGCACTCAGGAGGCTGAGGCAGGAGGATCCTT